TGTAAGGTAAGCATGGGGTCTAGAAGGCGTTACTCTAAGACAGGCCCTGAGACAACTTGGTGCCCGGGCTAAAGTCCGCACCCAAACGGAACACGGAAACCGCAGAGGCCCTGAAAAAGACCCACGGCTCCATGCCCTGGGGAGCCCCTAAACCCTAAACCCTAAACCCTAAACCCTAAACCCTAAACCCTAAACCCTAAACCCTAAACCCTAAACCCTACACCCCATCATCCCCCAAGCCGAACTCTAGCTTGGTCGCATTTGCGTTTGCAAGAGGCTGCAGACCACTAAGTGACCTTCCTTCCTCCTCCCCCTCCTCTCTCTCTCTCCCTCTCTGTTCCTGCGCCTTGCCATTTTTTTGTGTCTCACTCTCCCTCTCGACAGGCCCTCCCATGTACAACGGCAATCCGACAGGGTCAACGTTTTCAAGCCGCTCCAAGATACTGCGGGATGTCGCTTGGATCAGGGAGTGGGTTGTTCTCGCACGGCTCTTCACCCTCCTGCCGGGCGTGTGGCATTTCTTGCTTCGCAGTGGGGCTCTAAACCCTCAACCCTCAACCCTCAACCCTCAACCCTGAACCCTGAACCCTGAACCCTCAACCCTCAACCCTCAACCCTCAACCCTCAACCCTCAACCCTAAACCCTAAACCCTAAACCCAAAGCCTAAACGGGAGCCAGGCTTCAGCGTGCTGGACCGCATGAGGCTCTTACGTGCCTGCACCCAAAGCCTTGAAATCCGGGATTTGGGCTTCCGCGGAAACTCGGGTGTTGGGCGTCGCGGGTTTCGCTGTGAGCAAGTGTCCGCTAACTGCCGGGGTCCTTGTGCAAGGAAAATATACTGTACAGTATATAACATGTTTAGGGTTTAGGGTTTAGGATTTAGGGTATTGGGTTCAGGGTTTAGGGTTTAGGGCTTAGGGTTTAGGGTTTAGGGATATAGGTTAGCCACATGTGCTGCGGACTGAACCGGCTCAGTCAGTGCGCCATGCCCTTCTTTTCGCCTTCTTTCGGGCAAGCTCTTCTTTCACCTTAACAGTGGTTTACGGTTTAGGGTTTAGGGTTTAGGGTTTAGGGTTTAGGGTTTAGGGTTTAGGGTTTAGGGTTTAGGGTTTAGGAAAGCTTGCGCAATGTAGACGCGGCTGCGCTAAGCTTCTCTTGAGCCTAAACCAAAATAAACGAATGACTCATGACGGTTCGAGAGCTCAGTCCCAATGGAGAACAGCGCCTAATGAATTCAAAAAACCTTTTCTCAAACGGCAAAGGCCAAATGCAGCCAGGCGCTGCTCTCAATGACCCAATGCCCTGCGCTCATTCTGTGTTGCAGCGCTCGATGTTTCAGGGGTGCTTTCAGGGCTTTCAGGTCTCTCAGAAGCGAAAAAAGAATAACAGCAATACAAATACGGTACGTATTTGTAGTAAACCCAGCAGTCAGCTAACGCTACTAAGGACAGCCCTAAACCCTAAACCCTAAACCCTAAACCCTAAACCCTAAACCCTAAACCCTAAACCCTAAACCCTAAACCCTAAACCCTAAACCCTAAACCCTAAACCCTAAACCCTAAACCCTAAACCCTATAGATGCTCAGAGAGGATCCAGCTCAATGTCCTCGAACCATTCGAAGGTGCCATCGAGCAAGTCTGCCGCTCCAAGCAGGAGTCGGCCGCGGTTGCCTCAAGGTGAGCGAAACTAATGACAAGGGTTTAGGGTTTAAGGCTTAGGGTTTAGGGTTTAAAGGTTTAGGGTTTACGGTTTGGGTTTGGGGTTTAGGGTTTAGGCTCATCATACTAGCAACATGAATAACGGTAGCATGACGAATAGCGCCAGCGACACCCACACGAATAGTTTTTGTCGTACTAAGAAGACTAAGAATGCAACAATACTAGCTAGGCAGCAAAAACATCAACAATGCTAATCGATAATCAGGCTGGGAATACGAATTCTGTACGACTGGTAAACATACCACTAGCAATACTAGTAACACAAATGTGCCAGCAATAATAACAATGCTAGCAAAACTAACAGGCTAGTGATACTACTTACAATTTCTGTTTGTGCTGATATGTGTACCAAAAAGAGTGCGAATAAGTGCTAATGACGACAATGAGGATACGAAAACTGGGTTCTCATGCAAGGTCTCAAGGCCTCGAGGTATTCACGATGCTTAGGCTAATGCTGCATGAGCGACCAGAACCTCCTAATTCAAGCCGTTTGGGCTTGGGGCTTTTAGGGTTTGGGGTTCATGCGAGATCGATCAGCAAGCTGCTTACTTCAAGGCCAAACATTTTGCAAATAGTAGGATTCCCTTACAATCAGGACTCCAATAAGGTACCCCTAATTTCGGAAACCCCCCATTTCATGTCCATACAGTCTATGCAGAAGTCGAGCTGTCACAATAAGGCCCTAAACCCTAAACCCTAAACCCTAAAGCCTAAACTCTAAACCCTAAACCCTAAACCCGAAACCCTAAACCCTAAAGCCTAAACAGGTCAAGACCACTC